CCGGCTTTTATTTGAGACTTTATGGTATCCTATATCAAATGGACCTCAAGGCTCAAAAACTACAGGTTTCTCGATATCTAATCAGTGGATTTTAAATTTTCCATCCATGTTATGAACAGCAAAACCAAGGGATTATACATCTCTGATAAAAGTGTTTGGCTGTGAAAATGCTGTGAAAAGACTAAATTAATTTGAAATAATAATAAATCGATATATCTCTGACAATGAATGTTCTGTGTTTCCCTAAAAAACAACTTTTGTAAATTAGTGGAAAAAATCTTTTCCAGCAAATCGTACTAATGAATGACTGAATCACACCCTCCAAACATTTAGATTCACAGTTGTCACCATCACAGTGGCACCAACTGGTTGAAAATATACAGATGAATTCCAGGCAACTGATTCATTTTGTGATCTAACTTCCCAGCTCAAGTCATTTTGAAAGAAAGCCCAAATCTCAGTAATTCCCGGCAACAGCTTGCTCGACTAAAACACAGTTCACGATGACGTACGGAGACATTTGTAGCTCGGCTTGTTGGCTTTGTTTAAAGTGCGTTTATGTTGGATTTTTTCTGCTGTCATAATTACAGCTGAAAGACCATCAGGCCTCTGGTAGCAGGCTGGAGGACAGAGGGCTGGAAATCTGGCCGCTACAAATTGATCCATGATTGAAGCTTTAATTAACATCAGCCAGAAAACCCCTTAAAAAAAACAAACAAAAAAAACCTGTTACTGTGTTTCTGGCGCCCAGCTGAGCTAGTTAGCTAATCTTGTTGGGAAGAAGCATCACTATCATATCACCAGAAGGAGACACACAATTAAATCGTTGTGGTGATTCGCTGAGTGTCGTCTTCTCAGCGCAGTGAACCTTCTCTCGGTGTCTTTCCCTTCAGTGTTTCAGAAGCCGCTTCTAAAGCCGTCTCTTTTTGTTTGTTGTACCTCATCTGAATACATTTTAAATGAGCTGCCTGTGGCTTTGGTAAAAATTTGATGTTATTTTTTACTCGTGCGGAGGCAGAGTTTCATCAGACTATCAGTGTGTCTGGTTTAAGAGCCACTGTTGTGCCTTCTGCCCCGGCTTTGAGCCCCGTCTGGTAGTGGTGTGTTGAGCAGGGCAGGGCAGGGGCTTGGCACGGTGCACGGGGGGGACAGATGGTCTTACGTGTGATCTAGTTGGAGCTCCAGAGCCGTACCCCAGCAGGGACCCTGGCAGCTGACGAGCCTGGCCTCGACGTCCGCTTTCCCTGGGTGGGATAGTGACGGCAACAGGATGGGCCACCCAGGCGTCATCCAGACAGAGAGAGACGCTCTCTCTCTCTCTCTTCCGGCCAGATGTTTCACCTCTGCCTCTGTTTCACATTCCCACAATAACAAACACACCTGTGCTCGTGTTCAAAGGCCGCACCAGGCAGACACTCAACAATGCACCAACATGGCCACAGTAATTCTCGGCCATTTGCTCCAGTTGAACGCTCCGACAAGCGGGGCTCATTGCAGCAGCAGCAGCAGCAGCAGCAGCAGCAGCAGCAGCAGCAGCAGCAGCATGTAAAAGATACAGTGGGACAGATTCATCTCCGTAGCTTTAGGTCTTGGCTCTGGTGTGTGTAGGTGGTTGAACCATACAAGCATTTTAATGCGTCTACCGTTGCGTGTGCCAGCGTGTGTTGGACAGATAGGTTTGATGGATGGAGACGGGCTGAAAGCCGTTTTGTCGACGCTTGTGTTATTCATGATGAAGTTATCACGGCGACGAACAAAACGTGGGCCCGGCTTATGGCGCCGAGAGAGTCATCAAGTCATCACAGATCAAGTCCCGCTGTCCACGGTGGCATTGGAAAAACTAACAAGGGCAAAGTATCGAGTGCCCTGATGCTGTGGCGGCAGCTGAGAAATGCATTTATTTCAGCCAACCTCCGCGACTCTGTGGCTGGCCGGGCTGATGCACTCCACGGTTAGTCAGCACTCCCGCCGCTTTGCCAGCTCAGCTTTTATTCCGCGCCCTGGAAATTGAGTTTTGCTGGCCCTGTAATATACTCAAAACTACATCTGCAACTGACTGATAAATCTACGCTTTGTTGCGCCTGACGGATGGCTGTGAAAATGAAAATTCACCACGGCATGTTGCTGTGTCAGGGGGAAGGTCACTTTAGATTTTCCTCTGCTCACCGAGGAGTCTCCGCTCGGGCTGAGGCCGTAATGGCCGTTTTGTCTCAGAATCTAGTTGCGAGGGCTTTAATATTTTCTTCGGCTTGTTTGGTTCAATGAGATGACAGGTTCCTGGATTGTTTTGTTCCACCGCTGTGTCTCCTCGCTGCCTGACGACAACGGGGAGGGCACGCTGAGAAAACACTGCTTTCTTCTGATGTGTCAACAGTACCTGTTATTTGCTGAGGGACAATGGCTTTATATCCACAGAGCAGCAATTGTGTGTGTGTGTGTGGGGGTGGATGTGTGTGTGTGTTAGTGTGTGTGTGTGTGGGTGGGGGGTTACATATATGAAGGTGCTGCTCAGCCAGCTTGATAAATACCACGAGATGACAGATCTTTATTGCAGAGCAGCAGTCGGGGTCTGACACTCCAAAGACCAATTTCAGACTGTTAACAAGCCTGGACCAGGAATACCTCACAGCAAAATGTCACAAGGCCTCCCTTTCCACACCTCTTTACTCTCGCTCTCTCTCCCACTCCCTCTCCGTTTCCGCCCTCAGCTCTCCTGTGCACATTCGACGAATTGTAGTTCCTCTCTTTCAATTTGGCGACCATGTTACCTCGTTCCACAATGTGCTGCCCCGGGGGGATCGTGGGTAGGCGAGAGCAGCGGCCCCGGCCAGGTCCGCAGAGAGCCGATAACCTTTCCGTGTTGCTTTAGCGCACTGTGTAAAGAACAATCAGTGCTTATCGCCGTCGACTACAGGCGAATGCTAATTCAGTGTCATGCAGACAGACTGCAGAGGAAGAATGAGAGCGTCGCAAGCTTTCACTCTGACAGCCTGACGTCTCCAGCAGACACATACGTTTGAGCAGACTGAAGTTTTTCAGCTTTTTATTGCCTTTCTCTTCTGTGATCCACAAATCCATGTGTGGCAACATTTCAGGGAAGGTACTTCAGGTTTACAGAGCGCTGCATGGTTAGAAACAATACATTCAAGCCTTTTAATTAATAATGTGATCGTAAGATTGGACAGCTTTGTTGACATTATAACATATGTTTGGGAGAAGAGATTATATGAAACATATTCATACACATCTCCGTGTCCAATGTCGTATCACAACTTTATAACATAAAATAACTGAAATGAATTTCTCCAATATCCCAGCAATATTGACAGGAATGGATGATTTTAATATTTGCAGACACATCCCAGACAACAAAATGAAAGTTTCTGGCTCAACATATGCCTGGGTCTCCCGCCCGAGTCTGGCCCATGCACTTCCACATCTGGGCGGAGTCTGACTGTTGTCCTGTGTGCCAGAATTGGTCCAGATGTGGAAGTAGCGTCTTACATACTTGGCCCTTTACATACTGGCCCACATACAGCAAGATTTGGGCCGTGGAACTGGGCATGTGGGCCAGATTTATTTTTGCTATCTGTGATTAATACCAAACACTGATGCTAGCCTGATGCTAACTGTGTTTCTCCCTAAATGACCAGAGTATCCGAAACAACCTGTGTTTTATACATAACAGTCTGTTTATAGGTCTGATAATTGACTCAAGATGATGTCACTTGAGTCAGCATTGGTTACTACAAGGCTGAAAATAAAAAAATATGGGGGAGTACCCCAACAAAATAATGTTGAGAGTAAGATTTAATATAAATCTAAATTTATATGCACAATAATAATAATAATAATAATAATTCATTTATATGCATAAACTAGTATTTTATTTTTCCCCATGACTCCTGCTGGGCTCTGCAATATTTGTAAAAATCAGCACTGATGAAAGCAGGTCAAGGCGCTGATGATGAGCTGCTGTTCCCTGGTTTTCTTTCCCCATCTCTTTCTCTCCTGAATCTCCTGTCATCTCTCTACTGTCACTGTTTAATTTAAAAAAAGGTACAAACGAGGCAAAAAAAATGTTTATATATATAAAAAACAGCACTGACTACATGCAGACATTTAAAGTTATGAACCTTATAGTGTAACATTTGATTTTACAAGTATTTCCAAAAGGCACTAATTTATCTCAGGAAACTGTAATTATACTACATGACTTTAAAAAATTTACAATGCATTAAATAATTGCAAATATAAAAACATCTCCACAAATCCAGTACAGTCCCGTTTACAGTACCACAGTTCCTCAAATGAGTGTCCTTGTCATTGTTTACATGCAGAGTCCTGGGGGGGGGGTGACTCGGCTTTTTCAGCGCTTGTTACAAAACCAACAATGAACCTGCATGAACCTCTTGCTGCTCCCGCTCTGCAGCTCTGTTCTCTTCTGCTGCAGGAAGAGATGCCCGAGATTTGTGTCGTATATATTTATAGTGTCTGTGGCCTTGATGGTGAAAAGACAGAGGAACAACACATGATCTCATATGGGAAACTATTTGGTGTATTGGCCAGCGAGTACAAGTTTGAGAAGCAAATGTTACAGTGGAGCTTCGAGAAAAGTAATCCACTAAAATTTGGTTGTTAAATTGTACAAATTACTTTTTTTACCTGGAACATTTTACCTCAAATTACATAGGAAAAAAGAATCTTTTCAGGAGGAATATTTAATTTTGATAAAATGTCAAAAGGAAAAAAAAACAGTCTTTCTGCAGCTGCAATAAACACGAGCATTAGCAGGAAAGTAATTTATGGACCACCAGTTGGTCTGTAAAGGTTACTACCACAGGCAATTCAGACATGGTGGTTCAACAAGAACCTCATTGAAATACTACAGGCATGTGAAGAAGCTTTCCTCTGTGGTGAGCAGAGTTTTTGTAAGTCTTTCCATGAGTCTGTCTTTACTCATTTCTTTCTCTTTGCCGTCTTGTCTCCCGTCTTCCCAGCGCGAATCGTGCGGAGCCGTCAGTGGTGCGAGATGGTTCCCTGCCTGGAGGGCGAGGTCTGCAGCCTCCTGTTCAACCGATCCGGCTGGACCTGCACCAGGGGCAGCGGTCGCATCAAGACCGTCACGGTAAATTTGCAAGACATGACATTAACGCACGGTGTGTGCACTTAACAAGCCGACGGTGTCGTGTGACGCCTCGGCCCAGAGATAGAGGAGGCGCGCTTTGGTCAAACAGCGTGGTCGGTGTCCAGGATTCAAAGGCTGCATCAATACTGAATCACAAAGAGAAGAAAACCGAACGCTGACCTGCTCTCTGTCAGTTTATGGCCTCACCCTGGTCAGTGATGTTGCAGCAGATGTTTAATGGTTTAATTAAAATCCAGAATTCGACCTGTCACTGCAGGACGCTCCATCGGGGGAAACACCATCTCTCTTAGACGTAGCACACTGACAACACGATAAAGACGATTGGGAGAGGCATGAGTAGAAAGTGTCACTGAAGATTATGAACATTGTTATAGCAGCTAATCCACCTTTGATATTGCTTTGTTGTTCTGTTTTTGGGTCAGCTTAAATACACCACCCAGCAAAAAGAAAACCCAGCGTCTACAAGGAATACTAAGAAGGCTCAATTATCATTTCAAACCACTCCGGTACACCTCTTCAGATTTGGAGCCATGAGTCACACAGCTCATATCAAATATACTACTCATATAAAAGGCTTGAAATCGTAAGTGAAGGACATCGGTGTCGGGGCCGTAGCCGGGGCAGAGTTTTAACTGAGGTCCAGAAGCATTGTACTTTGTAAATTCAGATGGGTGAAGCAGCACGTACTGAGTTGAGATGCTGGAAAAGAAGACAAGACTCCAAGTGAAGTTTAATATTTCATCTTGAAGATGTGAGGGAGGAAAAAAAAAACTGCTTGCTGTGATTCCTCACTGCAATTATAGGAACAGAGAACAGAGAAAACTTTATTATTTATTTTGACAGGTCAGTGCTAGTACTGCCCCCCCCCCCCCCCCCGTTTAAGCTCTAACATAGCAAAAATAATGTGTTAATATTGTGAATAGTCTGATTAATAAATATAAATAAGTAATGCTTTGTTTGTTTTAACAGCTATAACCGAGGCGTCGTCCAATCAGGGGGAGGGGTCATACATCAGGTGGTAGAGCGGGTTGGCTGCTGATTGGTGGTTTGGCGGTTGAATCCCCGGCTCGTCTGAACGCAGGGTGTGTCAGGAGGGGCGTGGCATATGCAGACAAATCAATCAATCCATCTTTATTTGTGTAGCACTTGTTGACCGCCCAACACAGGGGCATTTATAACATAATGTTCACAAAATAAAATCATGTTCGTACACAAACAGATATAATGCAGCACGAGAGGGAAATAAATGACAGAGATCCAGACGCTGGGAGGTGTAATTTAACTTTTTAATTACTCGGGTTGCGTAGCGATCCAGTCTTTGGTCTCGTTTGTGTAATTTTGCTGGTGTTTTACATTCCACATGTGTATGTACGCACAGACAAACAATAGACAATTAATAAACAGCTGATGGAAAACATCTGCTGTGACATCACTCATTGGGACGCAGCCACATGTGCAACGCGCCGAAGTGCTCACAGTCTGAACCACTGATGTAACGTGCGTTGGTAGTCATCAGAGGTTGTTCCTTGCGCGCGTGTACAGTAACACTCCTGACTGCCGCCGACACGATGTGAATTCAAATATTAATGCGAGCAGCTGATGAGATCATTTGCTCAAACACGACGAGCAGACATTTCACATAGCAGCGTAAGAATAGCTGACAGCTCTCTGTGACCTCTCCCTGACTCGGTGAGAGATGTAAATGAATACAAAACATGGTGAATTTTTTAAAAGCTTCAATATGGTGTCATCTGGTCCTCTGTAGGCTCCTCTCGCAGCATCCAATGCCTCAGAGCTGCCAACGCTGCAGTGCTAACTGAGGCTGTGCAACGTGATTAACTCTCATTTGATCCAACACAGAAAACACAGGAAGCACAACTTCTTCACATCAGTGTAAATCAGCGATTTAGTTTTTGTTTGTGCAGCTATAAAGGAAGTGTCATTATAAATGTGTCTGAATGGAAAAAACAAAACAAACAAAACTGTAAAGGCACCTACAGCCTGGCCGGCCAGTAATAGCCCCCCCCCGGTGCTGCACTCCTCTTTGCCCAGTCATTGACTGAGTCGCCATGGATACAGGTCTCACTGTCGCTGTGCGGTTCACACCTTACCACTTGGCAATTTCACACTATGCAACTCGACGCTCGGCTTGAACGGAGGAGGTCACCTTTTTTTTTTTTTTGCACCAGGTGATCGTCTGTCCAGCACTTACCTCTGGTGATGTCGTGCTAATCTGTGTTCGACACGTCCAGGAAACACAATTACATCCCCTCTGCAGTCCCACCAGCCGCCGCCGTGTTTGTTGTTGAAAAGCTGCCACTTCACAAGTTATTTTTATTTATTTATTTATTTATTTATTTTTCTCCAGTTTTGGCTTGAATTTTTCTCTCTTTCATGTTTTTCCTTGTGCAGCCACCGGTTGCTTGATCTCAGAAAACGACTATGTCGCCGTCTGAAACCACATTACATCACATCACCTCAAGGAATATGTAGCCACGCAGATGCCAAAATCTAAACGACCTAATCTGAACTTCTGTTTGCTTTTATCTCGTTCGTTAAGCAGTGACGAGAACCGAAACAAAAGGCTTTGCTCCATCTAATCCTTATTTTGTCAGAATTTGTCCATATTTAATCTTTATTTTATCTTCTAACATGATTGACTTTATCGTCCGTCTCAGTGGAAACTTGTCTTTGGCTTCACCCAAAGAAAGTGCAATAAAAAAATACTCACAATACACATGACAAAACACACAATAGTGCAAACGAATAAATACCAGAGAGCAAATCTCATAAGAAAAGTACCAAGTGTTTCCTGGTGCAGTCATTCTAGGTTCAGTGCCTGGGAATAAAAGACTTCCTGTATAAGTACCGGTTGGCCCTTGGGGCCCTGAATCGACGGCCAGACAGAAGCAGTTCAGACTCTGAGTGCAGTGTGTGTGAGGTATCAGCAGCTATGTGCTTAGCCTCCCTCTGAACAGCACCGTCAAATATATTGCAAAGTTGTTTTTGTAACTTGAAAATCACTTTCCCTGCAATGTTAGTAATTTTGGAGAACATGTTTTTGCTCTTAACGCTCCAGTAGCTGAACCAAGCCGTTATGTTAAATGATAAGATGCTTTCAACCAGGCTCCTGTGTGCCACTACAGGAACGTCAGCTTCCTGACCCTTGGTTAGCTTTCTCTCAAAAATGCTCTCTGTGTTCTCATTAAAAGTTAAAAGTCTGATCAGTGATTGAGCTTAAAATGTTCCACTTCTTCTACAGGCTGGTTATTGAGTATGGCAGGGCGGGTGTTTCTGGCTCCTCCTGGTTTTGTTTGTATAAGAAGCTTCTTTTGTTTCCCGTTTCCAGTGACCTGTCTGGAGTCAGCCTCTTCATGTGTGGCACGACTCTGTGACGTGCCGCTTAATCCTGTTTCACGTGCCGATGACACGAGACGGTCTCATCAGTAGATACAAAATATTAAAGTGCGACTTTGTCATTTTTAAAAGACTGAATTTAACACATAAATGTTTTTTATGAATAAAAAGTTGAACATCTTTACCAGAGGTTTGGGAGGCGAGCCGTTTGAAGGAAGGCTCAGTGAGTGTGAAAAAAATAAAAAATATTACAAGTTATTACATTAGTTAATAAAATGAGATCATGTAAATTTGCCTAAAGGTGTGTGATTTGTTTGAAGAGAAGGTTCAGAGATACAGTAGTCAGAGTCAGAAGCTAATAAAATCCCTCAGGACAAACCTTTTCATGTGTTTGGTTTAGTCTCGAGTCGTGTCAAACGGCAGTGTTAGACTTTCTTGGCTCAACTGTCGAGTGTCTATGGGATCAAATAACATAATCCTCATCCCACAGGCATCCAGGAAACTGAGCAATTGAAACAAAGCAAGTAAACTAAGGTAGGGTGGGGGGGGTGTCAGACTTTGAAAACCCCTGATCTAAACAGTAGAAACACTCCCTTGCTCACTTCAACACACTCAAAAGGGCGTTTTCCTTACCTGGTCTGGTTTGACCCGTAGCTTATGGTGGCTAATAGTTAGCTAACTAACAGATCGGTGTTGTGTAACTTAGTCGGTTGGTGAACTTCTCTATTTCCGTTGTTTTACTTCTCCTAGTGTTTCCAATGATTACCACTCCTGTAACTGTCACTCCTGCTGCTCCAGCAAGAAAAAAAATGTAAAAAGTCTGGCTTTATTGCATTTGCATTTTTAATAAGGGTTCCTTAAAAATTATCACCAATATATGCACAGAGTGCCATTTTATCAATGTAAGTGCCCTCTTGTAGACAAATGATCTACTGTAATGGCAACAGTTTCTACGCTGCCTCAAACTCATCTCATTGCTGTTCTGCAGTTTCTTGTTACTAACCAGCCCCAATAAATCAATACAATATATCAGTGATAATCCAGTTATTGGCCAATATATCTGCCCGTCTGATTTATAGATTCTAGTAGACTAGACTTCATTTGTAATTTTCCACCGTTGCGAAGGGAATAAATCTGCTCAAAGAGTTGCAAATACACAGATATCTGCCTTCAGGTACGAAGATGTCAAAACATATAGAGACGGAGAGACTAAAGGGAGACGCAGGGGGACGTTACTTAAAGAGACAGAGCGAGTGAACCAGCACAATACAGCATTTTGATGTCAGCAAGAGATGACAAGATGGACAGAGCAGGGGAGACCGCTGTCCTCATCATCAGGTACACAAGGCCAAAGGTCAACCTGTGACTGGCTCTGTTGATTTTCACTCTCTCTTTTTTATATATATCTCTCTCTCTCTCTCTCTCACTGCCTGTGTATCTCTCTCGCTCCTCTGCCTCCTCCGTCCAGCAGCCCTGGGCAGCTGCGGCAGATTTCACGCACGCGTTCCCAGCGTGCTGTAATCTGCCCTGACAGCACACTTAGGTCAGTGTTTTGCTTTTTTTGAACGTATATTTACCAAAAAAAAAAAAAAAAAAATGCAGATTACATGTTCCACTGAATA